TAACCCTTATTCAAATTATTTTAATAGTTTATGATTTGAAGTGTGTATTTTGGAATACAATAAATTTTATTATCTGCGTTCAGGTGATGATAATATGTGACTATAATTTCTAAAATCAACCAATCATATTTAAGCCCGCTATGTTCATTTCATGCCTCATCTCCCACAATCGCAGTTCGCCTAGGAAATACATTTTTTTTACAGCTGGCCTATAAAGCCCAAATAGCATAACAATTATAGAAATCTAACCAAAATCTAACCGAAAAATTCCAACTGATATCTTTTTCGCATATCAGAAACAGGCTCTAAAGCATTTTCCTGAAAAAATTGTCCTTGGATAAAAACGGCCCAGATTAAGATCCTGATAAATTAAAAATTTCGTGGTCAAAATATCATACCTGATTTCAGACTCCGAGATGTAACAAACGTGATTACCGTGAACAATGGTTCATGATCAACATTGAGTATCACTTTTGGAAATGTTGGCCAATTTTTTGAATCGCACCACCCTCGAGGGACGACATGATAGCAAACCAATCGTCACTTAACAAAGCAATCAAAGGGCCAAAGAAAGCTGAAAACCTCATCGAAAGGAAGCAAATATCAAGCCAATTAGGCACCAAAACGGGTACCCAAAAATGAGTAGGTATCAGTCTAACCATAAGTAGGTATCAGTCTAACGTAAGTAGATAACAATATATATATATTGTTATCTACTTCAATAATGGGAAAGTATTATATTAATATAAACTTTACTATTATGTATCAAAGGATATGTAAGATCACAAATTTTTAAATAAATACATATGTTTGTACATCATGCAAGAAAGAAAACTCTTTAATTAAAGTTATTTTTATTATGTATGTAACACGAAGATCTTCTACTAAAATGTAAATGTGATAATTGCTCTTTTTAAGTTTTATAACTCAAAACTTTCTAATAAAAAGAAAAAAGTAAACTGATGGAAATGAAGCTTAGGTATTTAGCTTTAATTCCATCAGTTTTTCTTTTTCTTTTTTAATAAGGAGTTATAAGCCTTTAAAGCCATGTGATAATCATTGACATTATAGATGGTGGGTGTCCTGCACTTGTAGACTTTGCACACCATAGAATATTAATAAAAGATATGGGCACACAAAAATTTACTTAGCCTCGTGTTTGGAATTTTCAAAAACTAGTTGATAAGTTTTGAAGCTTGTTTGAGTCATGAATAATAAAATTCATTGGTTAACTTTTTTAAAATGATATAAAATTTTTTGTTTATTTTGAAGCTGGCCTATTGTTACTATAAGCAATTAATTACAATTACTACAATTAATACAACTAATGTTATTATTATTAAAAAATATTTGATTTTTTTAAGAGAACAAATGTATAAATCTTGATAATTTAAGGAGCATAGGAGCTTGTGAGCAAAAGCTACAAGGTGAACATATTAATATCATATAGTGAACCTATGTGTCACATGGATAGATATGGGAATGAATCAAAAGTATTGATGCAGTGATACTAATGAAAAGGGGTTTAATGTAGTGTTTGAGAATTTTAATTTTGGTGGCATTTATAATTTTGAATGGATGGATACATAAATAATTTGATGCCATAAATTTCAATCATTCACTCCAAATTTAATTTGTGCATTTTGAATACCATGATTTGGGATTTGGGTGGCATGTATAACGCGAAGTACTAACCGTTATAAAAGATACTGGGGATCGAAAATCTTTCTAAAATAGGTTACTTCTAAAAACATCTCATTTTTTTGTGTCCTCCCCCTCATTTCGCACCCTGTTTACAATTAGCAAGATATTAAACAAATATTACATAATTCAAAATTTTTCATTGTCCCTTCGATGTAGATCATCGCAGGAAAAATTCAATGGATGATCTACGCCCTTTTAAAGTAAAGCAACTCATTCCTATTACTATTATAAAGCTATAAAGCTTCTGCACTGTAACTGCAAAAAATTTTTGTAGATGTCACGAATTACTAAATAACTAAATGTTATAGTTAACTGAAGAAAAAAACACAAGTGCAAACAAATTGAATTAGTATTAACCATATAAAATCCAGAGGCCAAGAAAAAGAATGAATTAATTCACACCACCTTTTTGATCCCTGAAATTTCTATTCCATACAGCGCACAAAATTTTTTCTGAAAATTGTATGATCGTCGGAAATGAGAAAATCAAAGTAGCTTTTGTGTATATAGATTTATTATTATTTATTATGTGAATCATACTATATAATTTTTTCTGGGGGGGATGCGAAAGAAAAAATCAGAATATTTATTTTAATCTTTCATTCTTTACATAAAAATTTTTTCCCTCCTAAAAATTAAATTTAATGAAAAACTAATATATCATAGAATAATTGTTGAAATCTTTCATCATGAACATTGAACATTTATTAAACAAGGAAATTTCAATTTACTTGTCATCTTCTGAATCAGCAACAACCTCTACTATTAGAAACGATTATAATAATAATGTTTCTACTATGAGTATAAATTCCTCAATTGACAACAATGAAAGCAAATCCGCTGATGAAATTAAGAGTAAAGCAGTTACAACAGAAGAAGTTAAAGTCAAACCAGTTGAATCACAAAAAAACCTTGAACTGACTGATAGTTCAATAGTGGTATGTAATATTATACATATACATACATATACATATACTCGATCTTATATATAAATATTTGTTTTATTAATTTTTAATTCATTTATAAAATTTTTTCCAAGAAATTAAAAACTTACCAATTCAAATCAAATCAAAATAATTTGTCACTTTATAAAAATATTCAAGAACATAATGTTTCAACCACCTCTATCAATAATAAATTTGGTAATTTTAACACTACTGATATCAACACTATTGCTCATGTGAATGCTTTTAATCTTGAATCTAATACTGCTGCTGCCAAAACAACTCCAATCACTACTACTGATGATAAATCTAATACAGCATATACTGTAATTAATGCAAATAATCAAATAGACGATAATTTAAATAGAATTAGAATAAGAATCACATCAAGAAATGATTCAAATAATGTGTCATCATCAACGCCTAATATTAATATTCAAAAAACATCAACTTCATCAGCATCACAATCTAAAAACACTCCATCAAAAGCGACATCAACTTCATTATCGAAAGTCGCGGCATCACCAATTTCATTACCCAAAATCACTACATCTAAAACATCAACTTTTTCATCATCCAATACTTCTACATCTAAATCATCTGCAACTTCATCATCCAAATCTATTACACCTAAAGCATCTCCAATTTCATCATCTAATAAAATAGCACCAATCCCATTCAATATGACAACTAATAAATTTGATTATAATGATATTAATGATAATAGTACAGCCAAGCATAGTCAAGCAGATTATGGATTAACTACACCATATGAACCAATTGAAAACACTAATGTTAGACAACAACAACAAAAGACTAAAACTACTGCTGTTTCTGGTACAGCAAAAAAAGCTCAAACCAATCGTAATAAATCACAAAATCAAACTACAAGATCAAATAAAATTCAGGAAAAATCTGAAACTAAAAAAATAACCGAACATAATGCTCCAGACACTTCTGATTCATCAACTACTCTTGATAGTATGGATATAGTGAATTCAAATGACTCTGCTACAGGTTCTTCATCAGAGTCTGATAGTGATAATGATAGTCTTGAAGAACAGGTTAAACAAAAAATAATAATTGATTATATGGTTGAATTGCGTCAACGTACCAGAAATATTATTTCTGAATATGATAAATGTCAAAAAGTAAGGAATAAATAAATAAATAGATAAATTAATTAATTAATCAATTATCAATTATTATTTGTTATCTTATTAATAAATTTTCTTTAGATAAAAATAGATAAATTCCGTGAACTATACACAGCAAGACTTAACAATAGAAAGAATAAAAAAGATACTATACATAGAACTAAAAGTAAAAGGGGCATTCAAAAAACTAAGGGTAAAATTGAAAAGAAAAAAGCAACACGTAAACTAAAAGTTGAATCAAATGATTTTACTATGGAGGTTGAGGTACATAAATATGCATAGATATATATTTATTGTCAATATTAAGAATATATTGTATGTTTATTCAATCAATAAAATTATTATTATTTCACAATATGTAGGAAAAGGATAAGGAACAAAGACGAACTAAGCAAAAAGAAAAATTTGAACTAGCTGAAAGACGTAGAATTTGGAAAGATATAGCTCGTAATGCGATTCCAAAGGTTGTTATTATTTCATTAAATGAATTGATAAATTTATTTTTATATTTTGGACAATATTATTAATCTAATAAACTATCCAACAGGTTCACAAAATTGTTCAACAATCTATCAATTCAAGGATTAGTAATTGCAGAAAAATTGCCAATTGTGTAAAAAGAGAAGCAATAAAAGGAGTTCAAAAGTCCTCAAAATCTCAAAAAGATATTCAATCTAAATGCAGACAAGCTATGAGACAGGTTTCATTTTTTAAAAAATAGATATATATATATATATATATATATAATATAAATCATTATTATTATATTTAAAATAAAATTTTCCTTATTTAGTCATTAGGTTTTTGGAGGAAAAATGAAAAAGAAGAACGTGAATGTCGTAAGAAGGCTGAAAAAGAAGCTATGGAAAAATTGCGTGTTGAAGAAGAAATGCGAGAAGCCAGAAGACAAGCACGTAAACTTAATTTCCTTATAACTCAAACTGAATTATACAGTCATTTTGTTGGTAAAAAGATAGGAAGTAAGTATTTTTCCTATCATATCTATTTTATTTTTTTTTTTTTAAATAGTTAATAATAAACGGCAATTTCTATAAATTTTTTTGAAGCACATATAGCAGAAGAAACAACTGAAACAACATCAGCATCTTCTGGAACTATTGAATCAGCATCTTCTTCGTCAATTGCTATTACAACTAATCTAACAATTGGTGATATTGATCTTAATGCTACTAATGATCAACTAGTTGAGTCTTTCAAAGATATTAATTTTGATAACGAGGATGAGTCTTCGTTGAAAATGAAGGCACTTGCAAGTGCACAAAATGCACTTGCTCAAGTTAAACAACACACACAAAACTTTGATAACAATAGAATAACGAACAGATCTACCGATATGACTGTATCAAATGCTGATCGTAAGCAATTTATATAATTAATGTTCACTTATTTTATTTTTCCTATTCCACTAAATTTTCCTATTGGTCTTTTATTTTTACTAGTTGATAACATGAATTTCCAAAATCCTTCTAGTATGCCATCAATGGCTGAAATTAAACAACCAAATTTACTCCAGAATTGTACATTGAAAGAATATCAATTAAAAGGATTAAATTGGTTGGCTAACCTTTATGAACAAGGTATCAACGGAATTTTAGCTGATGAAATGGGCCTTGGAAAAACTGTTCAATCTATTTCATTGATGGCATATTTAGCAGAATCACAAAACATATGGGGTCCATTTGTAGTTGTAGCCCCTTCATCAACTCTTCATAACTGGGAACAAGAAATCGCTAGATTTGTTCCTGATTTTAAAATCTTACCGTATTGGGGGAAATCTGATACTCGTAAAGTGTTAAGAAAAACATTGAACAAGAGAAACATCATTTTTAACAAAGACGCTTCTTTCCATGTTGTCATCACTAGTTATCAACTGGTTGTACAAGATAAGTCTTATTTCGAAAAAACAAAATGGCAATACATGATTTTAGATGAGGCACAAGCTATTAAAAGCAGCTCGAGTGCTCGTTGGAAAACATTGCTTGGTTTTCAATGCAGAAACCGTCTTTTATTAACTGGTACGCCAATACAAAACAGCATGCAAGAATTATGGGCTTTGTTGCATTTCATCATGCCAACTCTTTTTGATTCTCATCAAGAATTCAGTGAATGGTTTTCTAAAGATATTGAAAGTCATGCTGAAAACAAAGGATCATTGAATGAGTTTCAACTCAAAAGACTACACATGATTTTAAAACCATTCATGTTACGCCGTGTCAAGAAAACTGTTCAAAATGAACTCGGTGAAAAGATTGAGAAAGACGTTTTTTGTACTTTAACTGCTAGACAAAGAATGTTATATCGTGGTTTAAGGGAAAAAATTTCAATATCCGAATTGTTGGAACATGCAGTCACTTTATCTGAAAATGATACTAGTGTTGACAGTTTAATGAATTTGGTTATGCAATTCCGAAAAGTTTGTAATCACCCTGAATTGTTTGAAAGGGCAGATGTTACAGCTCCGTATTCTTTCTGTTCTTATAGTAACACCTGTATGATCTCTCGCGAAGGTGATAAACTATACCTACCATATTCAACAAAAAATTTGATAACATATCGACTTCCAAAACTGGTTTATCGCGGTGGTGCAATGTTGGATGTTCCTGGTAAAAATTCGAATGCTGGATTCCGTAAATACGTTCTTGATCACTTGATGAATATCTGGTCACCTGGTCATATCCACGAATCAAGTAATGATGATGGTAAAGATGATAATTAATAATCCTATGATTCTGTTATTTTATATATCGTTATTTGTTTTATTATAAATTACTAATAATTTTAATCTAAATTTATATATTGTTCTTGTATAGATGCTTTTGGATTTTTAAGATTTATTGATAAAAGTCCTTCAGAGGCATCTTCTATTTACTTTAGTAATACTATTGAAAAATGGTTGATTCATCTTTTAAATTATAAAAAAAATGCATATAGAATGGCGTACTTGACCGATGAAGATTTTAAAAGGTTTATTTTTAAGCAATTTATATTTTTTAATAACTATTAGTCAATTAATTGTAGATTTCTATATATTTTTTAATAGTTATCCAACTGTTCATAATGCAAGATTTTTAATTAATGAAACTTCTACTCTCTCATCGGCAAATGTTGAGGATTCTGATATTTTAACTGCATTAACAACCATATTTGAACGTATTACAAAATATGAAGTTCAATTCCAAGATCCAAGTTACATGCCAAAAGTAATGAAATAATATGAATATTTTTTATTTGAAAAATTACAAACTAATTGACATGCTTGTATATACGTAGGTTATTGCACCTCCTATTCAAATAGTTTGTCACGATAAGTGTTTTTACAATGATCAAGAACGCATCCTTTTTGAACCAGCAATCAGAACATCACTTACTGGTATTATCAAGTTATTACCTGGAAAAGAAAGAAAAATCAATCTTGTTGGGCAATATTTAGAACAAACAGGTAGTCAAGGTATTTATGGCCAAACATACTTTAAAAGTCAAGGTATCTCTTACATGCAAATCCCAGGTAAGATATCTATTTTGTTAAACTTACCATTGATTTTCTTATTTGAAAAAATTTTCCTTCTAATAAGGACTGTGTTGGTTATATTTAAGCTATGAAAAGGCTTATTATGGATTCTGGAAAATTGGCAACTCTTGACAAACTTTTGGAAGAGTTGAAAGCAGGTGGACATCGTGTATTAATCTATTTCCAGATGACTCGTATGATTGACTTGATGGAAGAATATTTGGCTTACCGTCAATACAAATATTTGAGGCTTGATGGATCTTCCAAAATTTCTGACCGTCGTGATATGGTAGAAGATTGGCAATCAAGGTAATATAATTGACCATTTTTTACATATATATACACATTAATTAATGATTTACTTTACTGGCTTTATTTATTTTGTTAACACTTATTTATATAATTTATAGATCTGATATATTTATCTTTTTATTGAGTACTCGAGCAGGTGGGTTGGGTATTAATTTAACTGCCGCCGATACCGTAATTTTCTATGACAGTGATTGGAATCCTACTGTTGATCAACAGGTATGAAAATAGCGAGCAATTTTTTTTAATCCAACAAATCATTCAAATCATACAAATCATACAAATCACAATAATTGAAATTGTAAATTGAAATAATATTAATTTACAATAACTTATTCCCTTGGAAAAGGCTATGGATCGCGCACATCGTCTTGGTCAAACTAAACAAGTAACTGTCTACAGACTCATTACAAAAGGCACAATCGAAGAAAGAATTTTGCAACGTGCAAAACAAAAGGATGAGGTACCTTTATATGTTCCTAATTTTATTTATATTTTTCATCAATACGTGTTAATTGACTAATTCGATTATAATTAAATAGATCCAACGGGTTGTTATTTCTGGTGGTGAATTTAAACAAGTTGATTTCAAGCCTCGCGAAATCGTTTCTCTGCTTCTTGACGATGATGAACTCGAAGCTAAACTTCGTGAACAACAATTAAAGCGAAAGGCTGATAATACCGCAACCACCACAATCACCAAAAAAGGGCGTATATCAAAACGTCCCAAAAAAAAATCTGATTCGGAATCACATGAGGTAGTGCAACCACAACCTTCAAAAAAGAAACCAGTAACAGAAGAGGAAAAAGAGGATGTCACGACAAAGATACGGCGTACAACTAGAAGCAGTTCAAAAAAATAAGGAGTGGAAGAGATGTAACGGCTAGAAAGCCCTGATTTTTTTGAGTAATAAATATAGATCCTTACAATTAATTGGAAATTTATTTTTGGCTCGGCTTTATTTTTATGCAAGAAAAATTCATAATATTGAATTTCTAAACAAAAAAATTAAAAAGTTGACAATTTTGGATTGGTCGAGTTTATAACAAATTTGGATACGGCCTCTCACGTGACTATTAATTAAAAATTTTTTCTGTTCTCTATGATGATGATAATAATAATAATAACAATTATCTATAATGATCTTGCTTTATAACGGACTGAGAGTTTAAGCCCAATTTATATGCCCCATATTAATATATAATTCATTACTGTCTATAACAGATTTGTTGACATTTTTTCATAAGCCAAATGGTCTGTGAACTGTATACTTGTTGAGGAGAGCCTTTTCGTAAAATTTCAAGTTAAATTAATATACTAGGTTGATAAAAAATGTGTTAAGGTTCATAAATAGTTTCTAATAAATATAAATAATAAATTCAATGTATATAATTATATAAAAACCATCTTGGACAAAATATTTATCACTTTGCTTAAAATGACTTTAAACAATTTAAAGTGACAATTTAAAGCCAATTTAAAGCCAGTTTAAACCTAGTTTAACTCTGGCAGTAGGGAAAAAAAATTTTTTTTAACAAGTTTACAGATTCTAGTTAAGTTGATGAGTAAAAACATAGGCAATTACATCATTACATAGCATCTATTATTATCAATTGGTATTGTTTAGTTGGGTTACTTTTATCTTGCACTGAACTATGTATGCAATTTTCTGATTCATCAAAAATCGAGTGTTGTAATTATGCAGCAAAAGTAGATGATGTCATATTCATTTTCAAAATATATTTTCAATACAACTTGAGAGGATACTTCATTATCATATGTGGCATGCTTGAGGTTCTTTCATTTAAATATGCTTGATTGATTGATCACCTCAGCAAAACTGAATGAATAGGGCCAGATGATCATTACAGTACTTATTCTTCAACTACTTGAGTTCAATTTAAACTTTTTTGAACTTGAACTAGAGATGTGTCATGTATAGTAACCCTGATTTTTTTTCATGCATAGTGCACATAGTAGTGCATAGTAGCACATAGTGTATAATGAAACTATTTTTGAAAAAAAATAAGTAGTTTTGGCCAATACTACATACCCAATATTTTTTATAACAACAATCATATAATAAATATTTAAATCAACTTTAGTTTAAAAGACTTAAAAATAATTTTGCCCAATTCCCACTATTATTAAATCAGTTTCGCCCAAGCTTAGGCTAAATAAATTCAGCAATTTCAACCTATATACATATAGGTAGTTTTGGCTACCATCTGGCACTTAACATAATTATGACACAAATGACATGGTTCTTTGAAGTCTACTCCAGATCAGCATAGATAAAAATCCTTTTATGGATAGATCGGCGGTACACACATTTAATACAGTTCAAAAAAAGATCAACAATTTATATGTGAAGAGTATTGTAAAATCGAAAAAGTACCACTTAGAAAAGTGGTGCTGCACAGACTATATAAAACCACCTCAAAATTTGCACAAATGTTCTGTTATTATTGTTCTTTCTTGAGCAGAAAATAACTTTTCCTGAGCTGGAATTGGATTTTTGCTTTTATTAATAACAAAGTTGCTCTAAATAGTGATCATAATCATCATACTCATGAATATTCATTAAGGGGGTTACACTTATCAAAAATCCAAAAATCCCTTTAATGAATATTCATGAATATGATGATTGTGATCACTACATTTTAACTTGATGTGCGTGTAACATAAAAAATAAAACCAATATATAGATAATTCAAACAATAGTAAATAAATAACATTTCTAACTAACATTTATCATTAATACTGTAATAAATGAATAAAGGTGTAAGCAAAAAAAATTTTGGTCCTTGTATAGTATGTGGTAATCATATGTTATTAAGTATATAAATATAATTGGATTTTGGTGAAAATAAGTTGTGAAATCAACCCCCTTGTCAATCTAATCAGTCCTGGCGAAAGAAAGAAATTTTTTAGAAGAAATTTCCTTTGAATTTAGACAAGTAATAAAAATAAATGAATTATTATTTCAAA